CCCCCCCGAACACCAGTTGGGGTTGGCCTCCTGCTTTCTCCTTTGGTGGAAGGCAGGTGTGCTCCTGAGAAGCAGCACCCCAGTAGGGACCAGAAGAGGAACCCCGACTCCTGGCCTCCGGTAAATTCCAGAGCCAGGTCAGAGGTCAGACTCCCAGTTTTCTCTTTGAACTGAGAGCTCCAGCCTCCCATTGTTGAAAGCTTACCACACACCGTCAACTTGAACACGCTTACTGCAGTCTTACTTATTCCAGAGAAAAGAGATTAAGTCAAGTGAAAATCCAGTGAGAGGCTGTAGGGAGCTGTGTAGACATCTCACACATGGCCTTGAAGCACAGGTAGCTCGTGGACCACTGCCTGTGATGTTATGTTAAGGTTCTGTTTTTTTTTTTTTTAAGGCAGGATGTATGCTTGATGTTAAAACCGTGGAGGTGCATGGGAAATCGAATGGGCAAACTTTCCTTGGTGGTTGTACTGAGGGTGTGGGACCAGAGGTAGTTTCCTTTTTTACATATTGACAATATGTTTATATTTAAAGACACACATACACCCACACTGGGTTCAGTCCCCAGCACCAAATATATATAGAGAGAAGGGGGTGCCCTACCACTGAGCCATAATGCGAGCTGTTTTATTTTATTTTTTATTTTGTTTTTGAGAGAGGGTCTTGTTAATTTTCCCAGGATGGCCTTGAACTTGAGATCCTCCTGCCTCAGCCTCCTGAGTCACTGGGATTATAGGTGTGTGCCACTGTGCCTGGTGAAGAGTATTTTTTTCAAGCACAGAGATGTCTTTTATCCAAGAAATCCAAACCTGGTGTCCCAGTAGTGGGGCATTCATTCATATTCCACCTATCCAGGATAATCCACACATGTTTGGGCCAAAGATTTTCTTGAATTTTAAGATGAATTTTATTACTCTGTGGGAATAATAGCAAAGAAACCTGGAGGAGCACCTTTGGGTACTTGGGAATGTGCTCCCGTGGATGTTAGGACTCCCTATAGAGATCCCAGTGCAGATCAATGAGGTGTTTTCTCCTCAGAGAGTGGCTTATGTACCTTTATCAAGAAACAAGCATTAAATCAGGTGCAGTGGCACACACCTGTAATCTTGGTGGCTCAAGATGCTGAGGCAGGAGGATCACAAGTTCAAAGTCAGCCTCAGCAACTTAAAGAGACCGTGTCTCACAATAAAAAATAAAAAGGTTGGGGATGTGGCTCAGTGGTTAAGTGCCTCTGGGTTCAATCCCTGGTATAAAAAAAATAAAAGAAATAAGTATTGGTGGTGTGAGGGTGCTCCCATGATCCCAGTTATCTAGGAGACTGGGGCAGGAGCTCAAGTTAAGGCCAGCCTAGGCAACTTAGTGAGACCTTGCCTCAAAACTAAAAAAAAAAAAAAAAAAAAATTGAGGATGTAGCTCAGTGGTAGAGAGCCCTGGGCTCATCCCAGTTAATACACAGAAGAAAAAAACAAACGACAAACCAACAAGGGTGAGCTGGAAAGTTAAAAGACTTCATTCTTAAAAGTGGTATCTTGCTCAATCCCCAGTACAGGAAGAAAGAAGAAGCAGTTTCTCAGTAGGACTGGCTGCTGAGCCTCTCTTGGCCGGGAGTCTGGCCGTCCCCCTGGGAGGCTGACCACTACTGCACTTACTGCTCCTCTCTGCCAGTGGCTGGAGGACGCTGGTGCCCAGTGAGGGGGCAGAGCTGGAACAGTGTGCCGGGCTTTGCTTTCTGCGTCCTTGTCCTGGGAGAGCTGCTGGGCTCTAGGATGGGGTCACGCGGGTCCCACAGGTTTCTTGCTCAGCCTCGTGGGCTCTGTGCAGATGGCCAGGTGGGGCTGGAGGGCATGGCTGCCCTGCTCCTTTTGGTGGAGGGTCTGTCGGCTGCACCCTGCAGCTCTATCTGAGCTTGGTGTGTAGGGTGGCCTGTGTGTGGTCCCTGGGACGCTCCTGCAGTGCCTGCTGGTGGCCTTTGGTCTCCCTCTGCAGTTGCCCCAGCCACTCCTTGACAAGTTCCAGGTGTGACTGTCATAAAAGCCACAGGGCAGAAATGTCCATTTACGGCTCCTGTCTACATGCTGAACACCCACTGTATGTTCAATGGGCACAGTCCTGGCCCTTGTTAGCAGTTATAGCCAGTGAGAGAGGAGTCACGCATAATTTACAAATCCACGCAGATCAAACCAGGTCTTTCAACCAAGAACAGAACGGGGAAGTGCAGGCTCCACCTGGCAGGCACTTTGTCTCTTCCGGTGACCAGTATGCGTGGGGGCTGGACACAGTGGACAGCAGCTGAGAGACCAGAGGAGACTGTTGCAGAGAGAGGTTTGCACCTGCTTGAGGGAAGGCAAGGAGACCCAGAGCCCTGCAGAGGTGAACTCCCGGGTTTGTTTGACAGTGGACTTGATGAACTTTGAGGCCTTCTTATCTTTCCTGGGGCCTGCTCAGGCTCTGGACTGTGGTCTGCACTTTGGCTGGCCGGGTGACTTGTGTTCCTGAGGCCAGCTGATTTCTGGGAGGCTTTCCACTGGCTCATCGTGGGTGTTTGACTTTGACCTTGGAGTTGAATCTAGAGTGGGTCAGACGTATGCAGAAGGAGCTGCTTAGAGCCTCCTTGGTGGGCGCTGGTGAGCAGAGTGGGCCTTTCCAGGACCCTCACTGGGCTGTGGTGGGTCTGAAAAATGAGGAAATTCCAGGGTGGCCAGGCAGGTCTGGACCACTGTCTCAATCAGGTGGCTCCCACAGCTGCCTTCCTCAGGCAGAGCTGGTCCCGCCCTCCCTCAGCCACTCTGACCCCTTGTAGGCCCTGAGCAATGGCCTCAGTTCAGGCAAAGGTTTCAAATCACAGGTGCTGGGTAACGCGGTCTTCCTCTGCGCTCCACCCAGCCCTTAGGTATTTACTGAGCACCTATCATGCTATTACCAGACCTGAAGAAAACAAGGTTCTGTGTTTCTCAGCCATGGCTGCACGCTGGGAATACCTACGTAGCTTTTTTTTTTTTTTAAGAATGAATGAAAAATTTGAACAATTAGTTTATATTTCTGATTTTTCTCTGAAACTCTGAAACATCGCAGTGCATGGTGAATCCCACAAGGATGATGTTGAGGGCCTCAGCCGAGTCGGAATGACGCATGGCATTTTTGCCAGAAGTAGTGGTTGAGAGGTGACACCAGCGAGTTCCAGTTGAGCTCTCGCGGGGATTCCCAGAGAGTTCCCATTGGTTGGGGAAGTGCCGGAGGAGGGATATTTCTCATCGCTGGTTCCTGGACGAGCCGTGTGGCGTTCGGGAGAGTTCCCGGGGAGCGTGTGTGGAGTGTGCTGGTGGGGTTCAGAAATAAAGTTTGTTCCTGCTTTAGTGGCTCATGATTTGTGCCCAGCCAGACTGCGGCAGGATCCCCGAGATGGGCCTTGGGACTTCTCCCCGGGCCCTTTCCCTGTCCAGGCATTTTCTGCCTGGGACAGGCCTGTGGGCATGGGGATTCGGGCCTGTCTGGGTTGAGCCTTTGCTCCCCGCCTGTCACACCCGGCCCTTCCCGGTCATGGAGGGAGAGGAGGTCACAGACTGGCCCAGCTGCCCCATGGTGGTGTGGACATGAATTAGGGGGTGTCTCTCTTTCTAGAAGTGGCCCAGATCAGAGACAGACATTAGAATGTCACCGTGTCGCCACCCCCTGGAGACACCGCAGTGGTCTTCAATGACTGAACAGTGCAGAAATGAACAGACACAGTGCGTCTTCCAAGGGTGTGCTGGCCACACTCACCAGGCATTTTTACCAATGGACAGTGTGTGCCTGACCCTGTCTCACTGTGCAGGGTCCAGGCAAGGTGTTCAGTGGCCACACGGTGCATCAGGAAACCTGGGGGGAATGCTGCCAGATACCTGGTTCCCCTTGCAAGGAAGGCAAAGGGCAAGAGAACTCCATCCTACGGAGACTGCTTCAGCCTGACGGGGAGGGTGGCGGTGTGGGTGGCCCACCCTGGGCCAGACCTGGTCACTGCAGGAGTGGGTGTGGGTACACGCCGGGACCCTTCTCTGCTGGGGTGTGTGGGCAGAAGTTTCTACAGATGACAAATGTGCAGGTTCACATGCACCTATTTGGACTGTGGAGCTGGCTTTCTGCAGGGCCTGGCGCTGGGTTCCGAGGTCCTAGAGAACCAGAAAGACTGAAATGTGTGAGGCGCGAGCACAGCACTTTTTAGGGAGAGGTTTTGGAAAGTAGGAAGTGTGCCAGCAAATAGCTGCGCAGGGTCCTTGCCGGTCAGGTCTGTGCCCTTTGTCTGCAGGGGCACTCTCCAGGCACGGCTCCTTTTGCTCCTCACAATGGATACAAAGTAGATCCTGCTGGCCAGCTTACACGGGGGAGGTGGGTCTGGGTGCAGAGTGGGCAGGTGCCTGCCCAGGGTGCCGCTGACCGGCTCTGTTCGAGGCGTCTGTGCTCCCCAGGAGCAGCCCAGTGAGCCTGCTGACGGGATCTGGCCTCAGACACCCAGCCTGCCTCAGTCTGTGGCTCTTTGCAGGGGATGGCGCAGACTGACGGACTCACCCCGCCCAGGGAGGCTCCTGGCCAGCCCCGAGTGTCCAAGCTGGTCCTCCTGGGAAGTGGCTCCGTGGGCAAGTCCAGCCTGGTGCTCCGGTACGTGAAGGACGACTTCAAGAGTGTCCTGCCGACTGTGGGATGTGAGTGCAGGGCAGAGCGGGAAGCCCACAGGGGCAGGCTGGGTGGGCACCCTGGAGCCCCACGGTTCTGGGCCCCAGCTGAGTATGCTCAGCTGAAGTGCCATCAAGGTCAGGCATGCGGAACAGAATCCAGCAGGGCAGGTACACGCCCTGCCTCTGAAACAGGCGCCAGCCCAGCTGGGTCTGCATGGGGTGGAGGTTCAGGGTCAGCTCTGGGAAAAGATGGTCTGGTAAAGGGCGACCCAGAGGAAGGACTTGCCTGGATCTGCCCACTGAGCCACCCGACTGGCCTGCAAACCCCACTCCCTAGTTAATTTATCCCCAAAGAGGCTCCGTTTCTACCTGGATTTGGTTTCCTAGCCTGGCCTGGATTGGGGAGGGACTGTGGGCCACGAGGGTGGGGGCCTGGAGGGAAGACCTTCTCCTGGGCGTCTTAGGAGGCTGGCCCCTCACCGTCTCAGAGGTGAGTGTCTCAGGGCAGCTGCAGGCTGCTGGCCCCTTTACTTCCTCTGGGTGCATCCTGCCTGGCTGCCATGCCCAGTTCCCAACTGAAATAGGGAATCCAGTGTGCTCTTTATGCCTGTCCTCTCCAAAGGCGGCTTAGGGTGGGGACAGTGTGTTCAGCAGCAGGGCTTCGGTTCAGACGGGCACTCGGCCACAGGGAAGCACCGGCTTCTCTCACTCCTGTGTTCAGTCACTTGATGAGTGTCTGAGCGTGGACGCCGTCTCTGGCCTGCATTAGGCATGGAGAGTTCCACGGCAGGAGGAACACGAGCGGCTACGAAACGCAGCACAGGGCACTGGCAGAGGGGCGCCCTTCCCTGTCCCTAGGGCATGGCTCCTGGAGGACGCAGGGCCATGAGTGGGGTGAAGGGTGGGAAGTGACCAGCAAGGGACTGCTCTAGAGGGAGCTGAGGAGAGCCTCAGGGGTCCACTCAGGCCAGCTGTGCAGGCTGCACCCCTCTCTGTTAGCAAGAACATCCACGCCCCCACGCCATTCGCCCAAGATATTGGACTCGGGCTTCCTTTCAGAATACAGCAGCGTGGCCTGAGTTGAGATGGGAGACCACAGGACTAAACCCAGACGGTGAGGGCCATGTCCCTGGGTGGTCAGGGACGTGATGTGGGAGGGAGGAAGTAGGTGCTAGCCCCTGCCAGCTTGATTGGCTCTGATTTCGAGGTCTGCGATGATGGCTCATGGCCAGACGGGCCCAGCCTGCCCGTGGGAACCTGTGGGAACAGCTGTGCCTGCTGGTTACTGTGCTCTGTGAACAACAGGCTTCCTTCTGTGTTCATCCTAAAGCAGCAGCAGCAGCACTAAGTAGTCGCAGCAGTGACCTTGTGGCCCACAAAGGCTGAAATACCTGCTTCCGCGCCGTTGACAGGCTTTGTGACCTGGCCTAGCGGTCTGCAGGGCCAGCACCCAGGAGGCAGCAGGCCCCACGGAGGGCACACGCAGACCGGGCAGCGTGCAGGGAGTGGAGGGTGGGGCTGCCTGATGGGGGCCATCTCCCTGCGTCGGGAGGGTCCCGCACGCACTGCTCACTGAGCCTCGGGGTGACCGAGAGGGAGCAGAGCCCCGACAGTGGGGTGAGGCCTTGCCGTCAGGGAAACGGAGGGTCCAGAGCAGCCAGCAGCACTCACCCCCGCGCCCTGGAGAAACAAGACTCCAGACTGAGCCCTGACCCACAGCTTCCCACAACATTGTAGGTTGTTTGGTGTCCTCTTAGACCCGTCCTCTTGGGGACTTTTTCCTCTTTTAAGGAAAAACTCCTGATCTGAAGGCCTTGTGTGTGGGGGTCGCAGACCTGGTTCAGCCATCACCTTACCACCCTGCTCCTGGGCAGCCCGGGCCAGGAGTCTGCCTCTGCTGGCCCTCCCTGTCCCTGGCTCACCTTCTCTTTAGGGGGACACCCAGCGTCAGCAGGGTGGACACGGGCTGGGCCCTTTGAGAGGTCTTGGCTCACGGTCCAGGCCTGAGCTGCAGGGGGCAGGCCTGGGTGGCCCCTATTTCTAGTACCCTCCCTAGCCCTTGGGGCCATCCTCCAGTGGACTGTACCCTCCCCAGCCCTTGGGGCCATCCTCCAGTGGACTGTCCCCTCCCCCAGGCCTGGGTTTGTCTCTCTGGAGGGAAGGACCTCTTATCTGGGCAGGACTGTGCCTGTGATGCTGTGGCCTTTGTCACACTGTTGTCCCTGTGGGATATCGTCTAGAAGGGAGCAGAGGACATCCAGATTAGGTCAACCTGGGACCACCCTGCTCGCTGGGCATGGCAGTTCCTTGTTCACCTTTATACACCAAGTGGAGCCCTGTCTCTAGGACGCAAGAACAGTGTTCCTATGGGGACAGTGGCCTGGATTCTGTCCTAGTGTCTGAGTCATGCAAGTCTCCACAGGCTTTAGACTGGGATAGATACTGCACATGCTCCGGCTGTCCTTGGAAATTGCCACATTATTATAATGGTCACATTATAATGTAAACAGATGTTGTATCCTTTGTATGTTATGTTTGTCTTACGCTGCGAGGTTTGGTATTGTTCCTGTTATTTTATTATTGCTGAGTGTTTTCCCGCTTCTCAGGGGAGGAGATGGAGTGACGTGACCCCTGTAGCCTCTGATTTGGGGAGGGGTCCTGTGCTGGGCAGAGCCTTCTGCACTGTTCCGTTCTTTGTTCACATGTGGCTTTTATCAGTGAGGGTGAGGACTGCAGAGCCAGGCAGTGTGTCTCTATGGTGACCGTGGGTGCTGTCCTCGTCCCCAGAGCAAGCATGGGTCCAGGGCCTGTGGTGTCCCAGGTGGGGCCGCTTCAGGGCAGGGCCGGCTCCAGGGTCCTTTGGGAGATTGACATGTCCCTGGGTCCCTCACTGAGTGGTTCTGCAGAGCTTCAGGACGGGGCTCCCTGGCCATCCCTGGGAAAGACGTGGCCCACCCCAAGGAAAAGGAGGAGAGGTGACAGGCAAACTGAGTCCCCAAAGCTGAGAAGCCAAAGGGCTGTCCAGAGGAGCAGCGCCAGAGCGGGGTCTCCCAGGGGCCACCAGCCCATCTCCCCTTTGTCTCCTGCTACCCCAGCCACAGAGGATCAGTCCCGCCATAGGAGAGGGCGTGACGGAGGGGGCAGGCTGCCCTGGGCAGGAGCAGCCACTGGCCAGGATGGGCCAGCGCTCCCCGGCGACCACCCCATCCCAAGTCCCATTGGCCCAGGCGGGGGGCATTCTGGCCTGCTTCCCTGGCTGCAGGGGCTGAACTGGAGGTGCCTCAAGCTTCCGCCAGGCCCACTGGGCTTTATACACCAAGGGGACGGTAACGAATGGGTGCAGAACACACCTGATGTGACCAGCTCACTTCCCTGTGGAACTCAGCACTCTGCAGATGTGCTTGGACCCTGATGTGCGTGTCATGCTTCACCTTCTACGCAGGTGATAATTTCTACTAACTGGCGAGCACCACAGAGAGCATTCAAATGAGCAGATTCTGTAACAAAGCCAAAGCACTTTAATGCTATTAAAATTGAGTTCAGGCACAGTCCGGTTTGGGGCGATGGAACACAAGTTAGAGCGCATCCCCTCTCTGCACTCTGAATTCCTGTCCTGTTGTTCAGTGTCCACGGGGGCTTATAGAAGCAGGCAGAGGAGGAGGAAGCTGGCTTGTACCTCTATGGCCATGGTGAGACATGGCCCCAGGTGGCCCCAGGTCACATTACAGCTCATTAATACCATGCCACCGTGTTATCTGGACGAGCAGATTCTAGAGACCCCCCAAAAAAAAAAAAAAAAAAAAGATTCCCGGCTCTTGGCTCCTTCTGGCCCCACATGACCTGCCTTACACCTAATATCATTTCAGGTAAAACCTCCAAGAATGTCTGGGTTTCCTAGAAATTTACTCATTTATTTTTGTGGTGCTAGGGACGAAACCCAGGGCCCCTCGCAGGCTAGGCCAGTGCTCTGCCACTGGGCTACACCCACAGTCTTTTCATTTTATTTTGAAACAGCATCTGGCTAAGTTGCCCAGGCCTTGAACTTGTGCTCCTCCCGCCTCAGCCTCCCCATGGCTGGGCTTACAGGTGTGCGCCACCACACCTGTGCAGCAATGTATTTTTCAATCACGTTTGGCTTTAGCTGTGCAGATGTAGAAAACGGAGTCGATGGCGATTTGAAAGCAGAAGGTGGTACCTCTGTGCTCTCTCCTGGGCTGCAGCAAGCCCCCAAGGCCCAGGTGGCCTCCTGCAATGGGACCCGCCTGACAGGCCTCTGAAGGGAGGGAGAACCTCACTAGGCCCTGTAGCTTCACCTGCTTTTGGTGGCTTCCCTTCTTCAGTTGACTTTAAAAAATCACAGATTTTGGAGGCCACATGACATCTTGAGTCTCCCACGAGCTTTGCTGTGGAGCACCGCTTGGGCCTGGGGGTCGTGACGGTAATGGCTGCCTAGGTTCAGGGACTCCAAGGTGACTTTTGTCAAAAACACCAACTCTTCACTTGGGCCAGCTCCGGTGTCTGACAGGGACTTGATGTCAGGAGGCCCCAAGCTCTACCTTCAGGTCATGCGAACACTGCCATGTTTAGAAAACACGTTCTCCAAGAGCCAAGGAGCTGGCTCACACCAGGAGACCACTGCTTCCCCCCATCGCCTTCCCCACACCCTCATCACCCCTCAGTCCCATGGATGTGTCCGAACACTAGGCTCAGGAGGCAGATTTGAGATCGGGTGTCCCCTCCACACTCGGCCAGCTTGCACGTGCCTTGGCTGGTGCCTGGCCTGGGGTGTGAGGGCAAAGCAGGGCTGGAGTGACAGCGCTTTCCTCCCGTCTCCAGGGAAGACGTCATTCTGGGCTCAGTGAGCATCCAAACACCCACCTGGTGCCACCACTGCTTAGATTGCACTCCTTGGAAATTTGTCCGGGTTTTGCACCCATCTAAACACGACTCTTGGGCACCATTTTCAAAGTGGGAAAGAAGAAGCTGAGCAGCTAAGGCTGGTAAATGGAAGACGTGAACTTGAGCTTTGTGTCCACCTGTGCCTGGCTGTGACAACTTCTAAGTGCAGCAAGTTCAAAATCAGATATGTGATCTGACCTGGTGGTGCACAGACAGACAGGGTGTGGGTGAAAGGTGAGGATGCTGGGTGATGACTCCAGGGAGAGCCAAGAAGACAGGAAGAGGAAGTAGAAGTCGATGCACCAGAACCGGTGCCCCCCGTCTTCTCATGCAGTTCTGTAGCCACCTGGGTAGTGGGTACCGTTTGCTTGCCTTTGAGAAGAGCAAACTGAGACGTGGGGAGTTGGAGCAAGTTGCCTCGGTCCTCACAGCTGTGGACCACACCCAGGGCCCACGAATGGGAGCCTGCTGTGCCGGCGGTTTGTGTTCAGGCATGACAGTGGCCTGTGTGAGCTGCAGCTGTCCAGACGAGGGCCGCTGCTTGACTGAACTCGTTAGTCGAATCTCAAGTCCATGGCCTGCAGGAAAACGTGGACGAGTGGGCGGAAGAGCTTAGAGCTGCTTCTCTGGAGGACCTACCCCAGCTCCATTCTCCAGGAGAGAATCAGGATCTCCCTGCTCCACACTGGAAGTCTCTGTTTAGCCCTGGGCTCTGTCTGTGGTGGAACTGCGTCCCCTAGAGATATCACCAAGTCCTAACCCCACAGCCTGGGAGTGTGACCTTACTGGACTTAGGGTCTTTGAGACGTTATGAGTTGAGATGAGCTTTTCCCAGACTTAGAATGGTCCTGAGTCCAGTGCCTGGTGTCCTTGTAGAAAGAGGAGAGAACCCAGGGACACAGAGGGAAGGCCGCGTGTACTGGAGACAGGTTGGGGTGACGTGTCTAGAAGTCAGGGAGCACCGAGGAAGGCTGGCCACCCCACAGCTGAAGACAGGCAGGGAATGGCTTCAGCCCCAATTCCCCAGAAGATGCAGACCCTGCCCCCCAGAACTGGAAGAATAAATCGGCTTTGTTTAAAGCCACGCAGTTTGTGGCCATTGGTTGCTGCAGCCCCAGGACACTCACACGCTGTCCTTGGAGTGGAGGTTTTGATTTTGAACATGTGGCTGCCAGAGTCTCTCCAATGGGCTCCACTCCCACCCTGGATCTGGGTGGGTGGCCAGGGTGCTGGCAGGAGCCTGTTGGTCTCTGCTGACCCCTTCATGCCCTGACATCTCCCCCTCCTCACTCTTCCCCTCTAGATCCCCCCACAAGCCACACACTATGGCACAAAACATTTGGCTGCTATTAAATGACTATTTTAAAATCACATCACCTTGGAAAGCTTGGGAAAAAAGTCTTCAGCTGAAACACAGAGTGCCCAGTATGTGCCAGTAGGTCTTCATGCCATGATTAAGTAGGTGCGGGAATAAGATAGTCCTGCCTCCACGGCCTCCCTGTTCCCTTGGGAGCAGAGAACACCAGGCTCCGTGGGCCTCTGGGTGTGTGCAGGGTTCCCAGAGGCTGCAGCAGGACCTCCCTAGCTCCCCTGAGGACTGGTGACCTCTGCAGACTTGGAGAGTTTTCTAGGTGAAGTGAAGGGACACCAAGTAGGGGCAGCAGGGGGGCGGCTGGTACCCAGTGGTGATGGGAAGGCTGGCGAGGCCAGCTGATGGTGGGATCTGAGGGCCTCCCTGCAGGACAGGCAGGGGAGCAGAGTGGCCCTAGGTGCAGGGGCTCCAGGGTCCCCACAGCTCCACTGCAAAGCTGGGAGCGGAGCTGTGTGGGGTTCTTGGTCATGGGACACCTCTTTCAAATTGCGCCATTCAGAGCCTTGAGTTGGGTCCTTGAGCGGGCACCCTCGGCCCAGAGCACCCTCTACCAAGCACTGGGTGCACTGACAGATGGCTCTGGGCTTGGTCGGGAGCTCCTGCACAGCACGTGGCCAGCCTTGCTGACTGGTCACTGACAGAGCTGTCTGGATCCCACTGAGAGCCTCCTCCTCTCAGGGAGCACCCGCCTGCCCTGTTCCAGGTGCGTTCTTCACAAAGGTGGTGGATTTGGGAGCCTCGTCTCTGAAGCTTGAGATCTGGGACACGGCTGGCCAGGAGAAGTACCACAGCGTCTGCCACCTCTACTTCAGGGGCGCCAATGCCGCGCTGCTGGTGTATGACATCACCAGGAAGGTAGGGCTGCCCGAGGCACGCCCCGGGCTCTCCGGGTCCACCCTGGTCCACCCTGGTCTCCCCGGCAGTGCAGCGTCTTCTGAAGGACTCGTGCTGGGCTGGCCCCACAGTCTCTGGTACAGTCACGACTACAGAGGCCACGTCCACGCGCCCTCGTCACCTGACTCCCCTGACCCTGCACTTGCCTCTGCTCTTCCGTGATTGGCCCAGCAGGCCCCGCGCAGGGCAGTGTCTTCCACACTCACTAGTGCGCTGAGACCGTGGAGATGGGAGGGAGGGGCTGGCTTCATGGGGCCTGCAGGCCCAGCCTGGGCGGGAGGAACTGGCCATGCTGGGGGGCAGTGGGCCTGGGGGAAGGTGAGAGGGCCTGGGTGAGAGAGCAGGGTGGCATCCAGAGAGGGTGGGCAGTGCAGTGGCCCCGCAGTGAGGAAAGCAGGGCCTCCACCCTCCTTGCGGGGGGCAGGAGGGGCTACAGGGGCCAGGTGGAGACTCCTTACCTGGTCTTTGGGATATTGCAGTTAGGAGCAGGGTTTGAGTGGTGGACGCCCCCTACTCTCCTACACAAAATGTTCCAGGGGTGGAGGCCACTGGCACAAACACCCTGTGTCCCCATCCCGGGGCCCCTGCAGCTGGCTGCTGGCTGCAGACACCAGCCAGGGTGGGAGCAGGCCGGCCACCCACCTTGGAGGAACTGAGAAGCCCTGCAGGGTGGGATTGCCCACGGCATCCTGGGACATCCACAGCCTGTGCCAGGCCTGCTCTGCCGCCCTGGACCAGAGGCCGCCACAGGCCCACCGACAGCCCTTCTCCTCCAGGACTCCTTCCACAAGGCCCAGCAGTGGCTGGCAGACCTGGAGAAGGAGCTCCACCCAGGGGAGGGCGTGGTGATGCTGGTCGGCAACAAGACGGACCTCGGCGAGCAGCGGGAGGTGACTTTCCAGGTGCCACTCGGGCCAGCGGGAGGAAGCCCCCACCCCGAAGCCCTGGGTTGTCACATGGGCTCACACGCACACGCCCACACCACACCCTGAGGCACACCAATGCACACACCCACATGCCCGCACCTCGCACACATAGGTACACACACCTGTAGGGACATTGCCCACTCACACCCCACACTCACATCCCTACACTCACACCCCCAAACTCACACCCCCACACTCACATACACACACTCACACCCACACACTCACACCTCCACACTCACATACCCACACTCACACCCACACTCATACCCCTACACTCACACCCACACACTCACACCCACACACTCACACCTCCACACTCACACACCCACACTCACACCTCTACACTCACACACCCACACTCACCCCCCTACACTCACCCCACACACTCACACCCACACACTCACACCTCCACACTCACACACCCACACTCACACCTCTACACTCACACACCCACACTCACACACCCACACTCACACCCCCATACTCACACACACCCACACCTGTGCATGCTTGTGCCCCCCCACATACTTTCCACCTTAGTTTCCCTTTTGGCCAAAGAAGTCTGGAATCTCTGGAGGGTGCAGGGGACCCATGCCCCTCTGGGGAGCTGGCTGCAGGGTCCCGCCTGCTGGGAGTGGGGCCTCCCCGCCAGCCTCAAGGCCTGTACTGGTCACCTGGCGCCCTTCCCACCCCTCCGCCCCTCCTTGCGACTTGTGGGTTCTCACTTATTTTCTTTGTATTCAATATATTGTTGAAGAAGGGTCAAGAGAAGAAATCCAAACTTCTTTGGTAGGAACTGCACAAGGGACAGAAAATTTAAAAAGCCGTAGTTTTTCTATGAAACGATGCACAGCAGAATACATGCTGCAGAGACGTGTGTGAGGCACTGTGGGGCTGAGAGGAGGGCCAGACTGCCCGTGGCCTCGAGCCCGCCTGCGGGGTGGACGGTCTGGGACATGTGTGTGCGTGTGTAGGACGTGTGCACCCCTGTGTGTGTGGGTGTGTGCATCTGGGTGGTCTGTGGTGTGCAGCTGTTGTGTGTATAGGTATGTGTGGGCACCCACATGTGTGTTGTGGGAGCTGTGTGTGTATACAGTTGGCCCTCTGCATCTGTGAGTTCTGCATCCACAGCTTCAACCTACCATGAATAAAAAAAAAAATGTGTGTGCATTAAATGTGTACAGATGGTTCTCTCCTCATTAGTCCCTTAAATAACTCAACGTGACAACTATTTAGACAGCATGGAATCGGCCGTTCGCCGAGGAGCCTGGTTCTTAGTTTGGGGGATTCATTGAGAAACAACGTCCAGGTGTGGGGTGTGCTCAGGGCCAGGGGTGGGGGGCGGGGGAGAAGACCGTGGGCTTCACCTGGAGACCTCAGGACAGGAACTGGCAGGGTGGGCTGACTCAGGGCACAGGAGGGGCGGGCCTCTCATGAGAGGGAACTGGCTTCTTGGAGGTGACAGGGGAAAGGGAACAGGTTGGAGCTTCCAGGGAGTCCAGGAGAAGGCAGAGAGCAAGAGCAGGTGGCATCAGTTAGCCTGGGAGGGGCACCCAAGCTGGAGCGGCTGTGGAGGAGGTGGCTTGGCAGGCACCTGGCCTGCAGGGCTGCCCCTCTTGGAGTGGCTGCCAGGGAGGCTGGAGAGCTCGGGCGGCCATGAGAACCAGGAGCAGAAGCTGCAGAACGGGGAGTGAGAGGAGAGGGAAGTTTTGGAGACTCTGAGGACCTGGCTGAGAAGCCAAGGGGAGGGGAACGCAGAGCTGACCCACAGGCTGTGGGAGGAGACCTGGCTGCCAGCTCCGTGTGAGGGGGCATGGGGAGGGGTCCCCAGCTGAGTGGTCTGGGACTGCCAGGTGCTCCTCCTTGTTGGGAGGGGCCGGGGGCTTGGGGAGAGTGGGCGTGGGAGAGCCCATCCTGGGCCACCCTGACTCCTTGGCCTGGCCCTGGCCTCTCTCCTTCCTGGTCACGGTTTCCTGCTGTCTCTGCCCTGGTTTCTCCACTTAGCCTGACCCTGTGGGGAGCAGGGCCCCTGCCATGCCTCCCCCGCTTTCTCTGTCCCCTGGTTTGGGCATCTTGCCTCTGTCTGCTGGACAGTCACAGCAGGAGGGCCCCTCCCTGTCCAGCTCCAGGAGCCTCTTCTAGTGTGACCTGTCCCCTCCCTGTGTCTCTCCCTCTTGGTCCTGGGCCTGCTGCTCCAGGTGGCCAAGGGCTGGGGCTGGGGACTGGAAGAACGTGGGGTGGGGTTTTCCAAGGGCCTGCAGCTGCCCTTGGGCGTGGGTTGGAGGTCATTAGTGTCCTCGGGGAACTCATAAACCGGTCCTTTTCCCTCAGGAAGGGAAGGAGTTTGCCGAGAGCAACAAGTTGCTGTTCATGGAAACCTCCGCCAAGCTGAACCTCCAGGTGTCCGAGGTCTTCAGCACCGTGGGTGAGTGAGGGCAGCCCACGGCCGGACAAGGGCCGGGCTCCCACGGGACCTGTCCACTGGGTCTTCTTTTCTGGTGTCTTGGGACCAAGAGTCTGTCTGTTGGGGACAGGGGGTGAGCAGGAGGGACATGGAGTCCTGGTTCCAGGCTCTGAGCGGCCGTCAGGAGGGCGGGCTGTGTGGCCCCGGGGGACTCTCCCCAGTCACCTCTCCCCTCTTCCTTCACAGCGCAAGAGCTACTGCAGAGGGAGGCCAGGCAGAGCCACAGCGCACAGGGGGAAGCAGCCGTGGTTCTGAATGCGAGTCCTGCCCCGCAGGCCAAATGCTGTGCCCGTTAGAAGTGCCACTCCAGGGGGCCATGGCAGGACGTCCAAGGCCAGGCCGGGGGTCTCCAGGGTGAGCCACTCTCGGCTTGGCTCTTCATCAGTTGTACTTCGTGGCTGGTGCTGGACTGTGCCTGAGGGCTGGCAGCTTCCAGAAGTTGGCGTCCTTTGTAATACCCAGTTCCCAAAGCTGGGGGTGATGGTCAGGGGAGGATATGGTGTCAGATGGCTCCCAGAAGACTGTTGCCCACCGTGGCAGATCCTGTCTGGTTCCTGGACACCCCAGTCACCTAATTGATTGCTTTGTCACCAAACGTGGAGGGTTCGTATGAGGCAGAGAGGAAGCAGAGATCAGGACTCTGCTGATAGCCATGGTGGACAGACACCTCCATCTGGCTTGGCGGGGATGCTGGGCTAGGGCTGGGCCCACCTGGTTCTGGGAGGTGGGAGAGAAGGAAGAGGCCTACCGGGAGGTGGCGGTGATGGACCTGGGTGGCTGATCTCAGGCGGTGGCCCCGGGGAAGGTGCCAGTGCAGGCTGCTGAGATGGAGTAGGCAGCCACCGTCCTGCTGGGGGCACAGAGGCTCCGACTTGTACCCTGACGTGGAAGTTGTGCTGTCGAAGCACCTTTTTCTCTTAAGATTAAACTGCTTTGAAGCATCTGGCTCTGGGCGAGTTTGGAAGGGTGAGCTGGGCACAGGCAGGTGGACTGCAGTGTGGGGGGCATTCCAGGGGCTCCTGAGCTGAGGCTGAGATGTGCAGGTGTGACAGGGGCGGGCGCGGATCGTCATTCTGATGCCACGTGACACATGGCCCCCACTGAGGCTGCCTGGCTCAATGGAGGCGCCTGGCCCGCTTTCGGGGAGGTTAGCTTGGTGACTTTTCTGTTGGATCTCTCCTGACACCTGACGCAGCTAGGGGAAGGTATTCCAAAGGGGGACGTGTTGGGGAGATGTTGTCCTCATCTCTGGCTCCCCGGTAAGCAGATGCCAAGTCTAAGTATCACCACGTGGTGCCAACTGAGGAAGACGGCCTTGCCGTGGGGCTCTAAGGCTCTGAGGAGGGGCCATGCACAGTGCCCTCCCACGTGACCCTGGACTTCTCATCCCTGTAGGGCCTCACCTGTTGAGGGTGCTCTCTGCTCTGCCCACTTTGCCTGGACAGCACCTCCCAGTCCAGGGACTTGGCCTTGGGGTGGGGGTGATGGGAGCCTGGGGAGGGACATGGGCACCAGGTATTGGCCAGGACGCGCCTAGGGAGGTCACTCAGCAGGGCCTGTCCTGGTAGGAGGCCCGCCCAGCCTGGGCCCCAGCACTCCAGCCACACTTGGTACCGCTAGTCCCAGGGCGGGCCCTGCGGGCGTGGTTGCCCTGATTGGAGGGAGCCACTGGAGTCCACAGGACCCTGGGGATCCCACTTCTGTTCTGGGGAGGTGGGAAAGGTCAGAGTGTCCTGGTGCTGATGTGATCCCCCCGATGGGCCCTGAAGAAACTTGTTGAGGAAGGGCTCTTACTGGACAAGGGCAGAACCGAGTGCACGAGAAAAGGGTAAAGAAGGAGAACCAAGGGGGCCTTGATTTTTTACCAATACTCTTAGACAACTTCATAGGGGGAACCTCAAGACAGTGCTGTGTAATTGCTGTCATCTGACTGCTAGTGACATTGGGCAATGTGTCCTCGCGTCCCTGCCATCACAGGGGGCCTGAGCAGCACTGGGGCACCCTGGAGGTGGCAGGAGGCCCAGGTTGCCCATGGCCACCAGGGGGCGTTCCAGCACCACTGAAGGAGTTCCCTGCTGTTGGCTGTCCTGCAGACTGAGCAGTCAGGGCTCTGCTAAAGAGCAGACCCAGCCCACTGATAGAAGAGACCCTGGGAAATAAGTGGGAAAATTCTAGGGTGCCCTCTATCTGCTAGCCTGCTTCCCTGTGGTTGGTCTCGCAGTGCTAGGATTTATCACATCTTTGACTCATTCCCATCCAGAATCCTTCCATGGTCTCTCCAGGCTGGGATGGATCTGCATGCAATCCAGTCCCCTTTTCTCCTCCCCCACTGGGCAGATGAGGCTCAGCGCTGCCCTAAAATCACCTGGGGAGCAACAGGAGGAACACTTGCACCTGCATCTTGCCCAATCTTCTAAAGAGATGAGTCTGTGCTGGGATTTTAAACCATCCCAGGTGAGCTTAGAAACCATGTGAGGACAGGGCTGCCTCACAGGCTTCTGTAGGATCCCCCGGGGCTGGTACAATGCCTGGCACAGGCATGTGCTAACCAAGGGATAGGAACTCTTGTTTTCCCCACAGTCCTAAAGGAACTTGTTATGGTTTGGATGTGATGTGTCCCCCAAAAGCTCACATGTGAGACAATGCAAGAGGTCTGCAGGAGAAATCACTGGGGTATAGCCTTAATCTACTCAGTGGATCAGTCCCTGGTGGGGGACTGAGTGGTAACTGGAGGCAGGTGGGTGTGGCTGGAGGGAGTGGTTCATTGGGGACGTGGCTTTGGGTATATATTTTGTATCTGGAGAGTGGAGTCTCTCTCACTGCTTTCTGATCACCATGTGAGCTACTTCCCTGTGTCACACTCTTCCTCCGTGTTCAACCTCACCTTGAGCCCTGAGGAATGGAGCTGGCCTCTGTGGACCGAGACCTCTGAAACCATGAGCCCTAAAATAAACCTTTCCTCCTCTACAGTCGCTCTGGTTGGGTCTTTCCTTCGCAGCAGGGAAAAGCCTGACTCCAACAGAACAGCTGGCTTTCCTCAGGACAGCCCCCTACAGTGGGCAGGTGTGATGGCAGGCTTGCCCAGGGCCCTGCCAGCGCCCCACCCTCCTGCCCCGCCCACCCAGAATCTGGGGTGCTGGGGATGAACCCAGAGGGGTGGGGGATGTTCCCAGCAGAGGTGCATGCTCTCGGGAGGCCAGCTCTAGGGTGCCTGCAGTCCTGGCCACGGCCTGGGCAGGTGCCACGGTTGTCCTAGGCTGGACTTGGACCTGGGACTTTCCCCAGCGGCTGTGTGTCGAGGTGTGGAGGCAGGAGGCAGAGAGGGCTGCAAGTGGCCCTCCACAGCTCCTCGCCATCCTGTCCACTCCTAGTCATGACCCTTCTACTTGGCAGGGTTGTTATGATGGAGTCATAAAACAAAATGGAGACACATTTGCTCCTACTACCACACTGTCCTCCTCACTCCTGGGCACAGCTCCGTGGGCCCTGGCTGCCCTCCTAAGCAGAGCCCCTGTTCTCTTTGCCTCAGAGGCCCCGGCTCCTGTGGAATCCAGAGCCCAGTCACCAGGGGGTCATTGGCGCTGAGTTCCGGGTCTGTGCCCACCCTGGGCTGTGGCCTCCTTGTGGGAGTCCAGCGCAGGGTCTTCAGTGCGCTGGTCCTTTTGTTCCACCCCCATCCAGCTCCAAGTCATTTCATAACTGGGAAGGAGCCCGCCTGGCCGCCAGGAACCTGCTTCTCCTCTCTGGGACTTCACTCTGGGAGCGCACGGTGGCTGTGGACAGTGCTGGCTTCTTTCCTGCAGTGTCTCATTTTCAAGCCTGTCCTGTTGCAGCATGCACCAGCCCCCGGTCCAGTCAGTTCCTGATGAGCTATGGGGTATTTATACCCCCCAGTCCCACCCCTCTGTGGTGCTGTCAGGAGCTGGCCTTCAGGAGGGGACCCTGCTGTGAAGACACAGCCTCTGGGACGGGACTGTGCGGTTGGAGAAGAAGCTTCAAAGAGGTATCCCCTCTCCACCATGTGAGGACAAGTGGCTTCACAGATGGCCGGTGTGCTGGCCCCTGGAACCGGGAGAGTTAACAGTTGGCTGTCCAAGGCTCCGAGTCTGTGGCACCTGGTTAGAGCAGCCAGCCCTGACCAAGGCAGTGGGCACGCTGAGCGGTGCTGCTGTGGACCCCTGTGAGATCCATCTCCACCTGGGTTCATGTGCTGTGTCCCAGGTGAGATTGCGGGCAGGGGTCCTGTTGATCTGGTTCAGCTGTCTGGGGAGCTGTGGTACTGCTGGCTTTCTGGGCCCTGAGCCGTCCAAGCCTGACCCAGCACCTGCCTTCCCGGGGAGCAGGCCCACAGGCACACTCCACCTGGGGGGCACCAGGGTGGGGGGCTCCCCTGTGGCTGGGAGGTCAGTGTCTGTGTTAACCCCAGGTGGGAGGTCCGGGCTAGAGGAGCTGGGGTCCTGCCTCATGGCCCTCTGAGCCTAGGTGGACAGGAGTCCTGTGGCCAGGGAGACCCCTCTGAACAGGTCCAGGCTGTCCAGACAGGCCCAAGGCTGGGGGAGGGCCTATGCCACCCAGGCAGGTGCCCTGCCCTCTGAGCTCAGGAATGAGGGAGGGTGCTGTGCCTGGTTCAGATGTGGAACTGAGCCTCAGAGAAGCCCAGGAATGGGTCAGTTGACCAGTAGTGTGGTGTGTCCCTGACACCAGAGCAGTTATGCCTGAGCATGGTGACGTCTCTGTGTCATCGAAAGGGACGCAGTGTGGTGCTGGAGTCTCCCAGGGCTGAGTGGGGACAGCACATAGTGCCTCTCTGAGCAGCAAGGGAGGCCAGGAGGACGCAGGTAGGAGGATCGTGGTTGCCAGGGTTGCCAGGGAGAGGAGAGGGATGGCTTTGATGGTGCAGGAGTCTGCTCTGTGTACAGGACACTGGCGACCCTGTCATTCCACATGGGCTCAGACCCCTGGGACGCACAGCACCCAGAGCAAACCCCAGTGTAGGTGGCTCTGGGTGACAATGGTGTGTCACCAAATGTGTGAGATATTGGGGGCAGGGGGCAGTGTATATGGAGGCAGCAGGAAGCAGGATGCTCTGAACCTTCTGCTCATTTTTGCTGTGAAACTAAAACTGCTATGAAAATTAAAGGAGAGAGAGAGAGAGAGAGAGAGAGAGAGAGAGAGAGAGAGAGAGGGACAGCTCCAGGCTGAGGGGCTGTGCTGCCTCCTCTGGGGACAGTGGTGCATGGTGCCCAGGGTCTTGTGCAGTGTGCTCCTGAGCAGCTGTTCAGGTGTGGGGGGCTGTGGGCTGCAGGTGACCAAGGACAGTCCCAGCTCCGGACTCGGGCCCCTCCCACTTTGTCACCACACAGTCGCAGACAGCAATAAGCCAGGCCAGAGCCTTTATTATCATGGGAGGAAGAGGGTGGGTGGGAAGGCTCATGGGGTCCGTGTCTTCAGGGTCTTCATCAGCGGGCCGTCAGCCATCCTGAGGGTACTTGGCACCACCCTCCAGGGGGAGGCAGGTGGACCAGCATTGCAGCCCAGGCCTGGGGACGTCCCGAAGGGCTGCCCTCCTCCTGCCGAAGCGGCCCACAGGCCTGATCCCCCGGCCTCTGTACCAGGCAGGATTGATGTCAGGAGCTACAAAGGGAAGAGCACAGCACCGCGTGGGACCCCCACCCCAGGGGGTCATCCCACAGGCTCATCCCCACATGGCCCCTCAGCTGATGGCTGCCTGGTCACCAGGCTGTGTTGGAGCCCACCTGAGATAAGGGCACCCAGAGGGTCAAGGCCATGTCGAGACAGTCATGTGGCTTTGGAAATAAGAACTCAGACTTATGCCGGGTCCACTTGCCCTTCTTGACCCCCCTCCCAGGTTCACGAGAGACCAGGCCCAGCTGGGCAGAAGTGGGCATGGAGGGAGGGGACAGGGCTATCCTGGGAAGAGGGCTGGTCCCCAGGATGTCCTAGCAGGAGGTTGGCCCCCAGAGCTGCAGCGTATGGCTTAGGAGGTGGCCAGCCCTCTACCCCTGGGTACTGAGCACCCACGGTCCCAGCACTCACTGCGGATTTCCATGGAGTGCTGCGGGGCTCGGCTTGCAGCCCCCTGGAGGACAAGGCCCAGCAGCAGCAGACACAGGAAGCAGCCGCTCAGAGACTTCATGCCCCTGGCTTCTTGAACAAGGCCCCTCTGAGGGATGCCACACCAGGAGGGCACAGCCTGGGGACAGGGGAGGGCCAGGTTAGATAGGCATGAGATGTGTGCATGCCAAGCCCAGGAACTCAGGTCACAAGAGCATGAGAGAGTCATGCAAGTGTCTGCGTGTGTGCACATGTGTAGGAGTGGGCTGTGCTGCACGGGGGTGTGTGTGTGTGTGTGTGTGCGCACGCACACACACGCAGCCCCAGCAGGGAAGTGTGTGAACAACACGTGTGAACGTGGCTGTCTTGGAGCAGCCTCGGGTCTGTCTGTCCTCCTGTGTCAGGGACCAGGAGGAGCCCTCCAGGCCCTGGGGGGTGGGGAGGTGGCCCCACGGAGCCCAGGGAGCCCTGGGGTGGAGGAGCACCTCGCCAACCTCAGAGGGTGGGGTTTGGGTCTGCGACCTCAGTGCTCAGTCCTTTACCACTCTTGGCCCAAGTCCTGCTGACGCTGAGGCCCACCCGCTGCCCTGCCCTGTCAGAGGACAGCAGCCGGTAGTCGGGTGTGACAGGACACTCAGCATCCTGGGTCCTTTCTGAGCATGCTCACCCCACCCAGTCTTCGATCCAGTCTGCTGAAGCTCTGAGGTGCAGGCAGCCCCCGAACCTCTTCTCTCACACAGGACACCCCTACAGATGACGGGAGCAGGCTGCTGTGGATGAGAGCAGGGACCCCAAAACCCCCTGTGCCATGCTGGAGTAGAGTTGCCCACCTACATACGCAGTGTCCAGCTGAAGAGCCTGGTGACCCGTCCTCCCTGCTCCCACCTGGGCATTTCTGTTACCACTGGAAGGTGCCCGAGAGCCCTGTCTGTTTCAGAGGAGGACCCCTCAGCTGACCCAGCCCCTCCCTGAGCTCCACAGAAAGAGCTGTCCATCAGCACTGAATAAAATGTCCACCTCTTTCTTGGGGAGTCCCACACAGGGCAAGGGATCCCCAACCTAGAGGATGAGGTGCTACCTGGAAGAGGAACAAACCCATGCACCCTCTTGGGCTGGCCCCCTTGCCTGTCCCCTGGAATAGGACCCAGGCCAGGTGAAGGGCAACCTGGAACGTCAGCAGTTCGGGGGTCCTGACCCCAAGGACCTGTGTCCTGGAGCTGGGGACTTCCCTGTCCAGCGGGGTTCCCAAGTAGAGCCCCGTGGACACCTGGGCTCACCTCTCCACCACGAGAGCACTGGAGTGCCGGGGCTCCAGGTGGCTGGACGCACAGACCTGAGGGCAGCTGCCACTGCCCGTCCTGCTCAGCCCCAGCCTGGCGGCCAGGAGAAGAGGCCAGTCTCGGGTAAACCCGGTCTACGCCTAACGAAGGACAGATCTCACGGAGCGGCCGAGCCGCGCCAGCCTCTCCAGCACCTGATGCTACTCACCGATCGATCTCCCTCCGTGTGCGGAGCTGCCCTGGCTGCGCAGTGAGGCCGGTGGCCGCCCGCTCACCTTTATAATCCATGAGGGAGCGGCTGACGCCCCCAGATGCCCTCCCCAAGCCGGCGCCTTTGCCTGCCGTCCCTAAATGCGCCGTCTCCCTGAAGGGCGACACCAGGAGAGGACCTCGTCTTTTTTCTTTTCTTCTATTTTTTTTTAAACTCTCATCAGCGAGGTGATTTGTTCCTTCCTGAATGATATAATTTCATTTGGGCCGAGTGGTTTTAAAGCACATTAACCTCCCTCTTCGCGCTCGCCTCTGGCCAGGCTCCAAAGTCAAGTGCCACGAGACATGGGCTCCAGAGCCGCAGCCCTCACCAGGAGACACCCCCGCCCAGGGCTCCTCGGTGCACCTCTCTCCCTCTTCTCTGAGTCAGAATCTTGGCTGAAGGCAGGACGGAGGTCGCCATCGCCCAGGGCGGCCACTCGCATCCTGCCTGGCCTCTCAGCCCTGCTGACCAGCAGCCCTTCCTCGGCGGGTGCACTGGCTCCGAGCAGACCACGTCCGTCCAACTCCACCACGAAAAGTCCGTCTTCTAGGCTCCCACAGTCTTCACAGCTAATGTTCAACACAAGTTGATCCTACGCTAAAGCCAGCAGCTTGATCTTTATTGCAAAACACAAGTTTATTTTATTCCAAATGCAACTCATACACACTGGGAAAAATTTAGTGCACACACGCACACACACACACACACACACAAAGAGAAAAAGCACAGACAACCTCACAGAAGCTGCCCCCTTTTGGGTCTGGTGTTTTTTCTCCAGGAAGAAGGAGAAGGCGGGTTCCCAGAGGGCGCCATGGTGCGAAGTGTGAAGGAGGCCCAGACAGTGGCCCATCAACCACACTTTCTTGTCAGTTGGACAGATGTGGGGCTCGTTCTTCCCACCTCATGCTGTAACCATGGCATCCTTAGTTGTGGAAATATCTACATATTTATGTCACAATAGCCATAGGACATTCTGCCATTTAATGTGGGCCTCAGAACCTAAATCATCGTGTTCTGAGTAATTGTAGATTACGTTAAAGGTCTTTTGAGTGCAACTGAATCCCGTCTTCTTGAGGAAGCTGAGCTGGAGGAGACGCAGCAGGTTGCCCCTCTTGGGTCTGTGCAGCGGGTGGTTGATGGGCCACTGTCTGGGCCTCCTTCACACTTCGCACCATGGCGCCCTCTGGGAACCCGCCTTCTCCTTCTTCCAGACCTGGCTGTCTCTTCCAGGTCAGGAGGGTTTCTGGCTGGTGGGCTCCCTGAGAGATCTGGTAAGGACTGGGTGGGGTAAGGGACTCTGGAAGGATCAGGTGGGTCACAGTGTTCCCCTGCAGATTGGAGTCACAAGGAAGCGTTAAAAACTTTCCTCATGCCTGGCTCCACTTCTGAGAAATTCCACCTGAATTCCTGGGTGGGAATTGTGTGGTGGAGTGTGGACCTTTCTTGAAGGTAGGTGGTCCCCATGGGTGTGTGCCAGCCCGAGGGCCACCTGGGGCAATGGAGACTGAGACTTCAGGAGCTGGAGTGAGACTCCAACATCACCCTGGGAGTGTGAGTGTGTGCAGGTGTGAGAGTGTGTGTGTGCAGGTGTGTGTACAGGTGTGAGAGTGTGTTGTGCAGGTGTGAGAGTGTGTGCAGGTGTGAGAGTGTGTACAGGTGTGAGAGTGAGTGTGTGCAGGTGTGTGTGTGAGTGTATGCAGGTGTGAGAGTGTGTTCAGGTGTGAGTGTGCAGGTGTGAGAGTGTGTGTGCAGGTGTGAGAGTGTGTGTGTGCAGGTGTGTGAGTGTGTATGCAGGTGTGCGTGTATGCAGGTGTGAGAG